ACAGTCCACCAGTGTAGTAGTTGTTGTACCAGGCCGCTATACGGCTGATAACCTATAGTTGGTAATGACCACTCAGATCTCACACGCACTGATAATACCGTTAAGTGTTGACTAGTATACCATGGCAAGCAGCGAAGGATCCTTTTACCAGTCAGAGCACTAACAGCATCGGTCATCCATAGACTGCACAAGGGGACAATAGTTTACACGTGCATAATCTACACCGTAAGCACTACAACTTGAACCCCAAACCCCTGAACCCTCAACCCCAAACCGTAACCCCGAAACCCTAAACCCCAAGCCCTGTGAGCCCCCAAATCAGGGACCCCGTTTGAATACAAAACGTCTGCCCTTACAATCTAGACCTAGGGTTTAGGGTTTAAGGCATCCTAAACACCGCAACCCAAATGGTTCTAGGTACGGTTAAGGAGGATCTACATTCTGCCATATAGGTGTATTGCGTAGGAACCTTGCAAAACAAAGCCTAAACCGTAAACCCCCGAATCCCCGTAAATCCCAAGACCCCATGTCCTAGACCTTACCTGTGACCCCAAATCCTACAAAATAGTAGGCTATGACCCTTTAATTAGAGGGTAGAACCGATAAAACGGTAGGTTTCTGCATCCTAAACCCTAAACCCTAAACCCTAAACCCTAAACACCCCAAAGAAGAGGAAGCCTCGGCATCTGACAAGGCCAGACCGGCATGAGCCGCCCGAAGGCCACCACAGTCGTTGCCACCATCACCGGCCATGCCTTGGCAGGATTTTCTAGGTTTAGGGTTTAGGGTTTAGGGGTTACTAGGGGGTTTAAGTCAAAAGCTTGGGGTTTAGGGCTCAGGGCTTGGGGCTTAGGGTTTGGGGTTCAGGGGTTTTGGTTCATATAGAGTGTGTTGCCTTGGCGTTGAATGGGTCGCGTACTTGTTTATAGACATCGAGAGATGCACAGAGAGGATGATGGGAGCAAGCCATCGGACTCGCGTGGTAGGAAGGTATGAAGAATGGCTCATGTTGATAACCCCGCTGGTCCATACATACTAGCATGATGGAAGTAGGTCCCACAAGACCATGCTTATCAAGCATTACGGTTTTCGGAACCTACTTCACTTCCAAGCTAGTACTATATGGACCCTCTTGGTCGGGCCTCCCAAACCCTAAACCCCAAACATTGATCTTTCCGCCTACAGGAAGCCCAGGGCTAAAGAAGAACACCACGCGCTCCAGCACAGGACCCATTTTTGTGGGTTGAGGGGTTTAGGGTTTGGGGTTCATGGTTTAAGTTAAAGGAAACTAGAGGTGGGGAGTTTAGGGTATATAGGGCTTCTACAAGGCTTCTATAAGGTATAAAGACCTTCTATAAGGCTCCTATAACGGTAACTACCCAACTCAAAATGTCCTAGATTAAGGGTCTCCCGCCGTTAATTGCTGTCTGACAGTGTTGCTGGCTCTATCGAACCTGTCCATCTCCCTGAACTGCAGAACTGAGCGTCCCCAACTGCCAGGCCCGAATGAATACAGATGTAATGCTTTACCCATATCCCCCATAGTAGTTCCTTTTTGGGATTCCCTTATCGGATTCTAAATATGAACCTAAAAAGGAACTACTCTAGGGCCTGTGGGTAGCTTCAGGGCATGTGGTGTTAATCGAGAGTTTAGGGGTTAGGTTTTGAAGGGTTGCCGGGGTGCACTTCACATGACAGTTTTGAACACCCACTCACAGCACAGAAAGTCTGCTGCAGCAGTTGCACGAGCAGACCATGGACTAAACCTTACCAGGAGGGTCTGTGTATATTTATATATTTATATATATATATATATATATATCTGTGTGTGTGTGTGTGTATGGATGTACGTATGTATGTAGCATGTATGTCAATCTATACTTATATCGACCTGCATAAGACTACTGTTATGAAGTAGGTCCCGAGACCATAACAGGGATTGTTGCTGGGGACCTGATTTAAAAACTAATGGCAGTATATACGGACCCTCTGGGTAATAAAAGCTGTCTTAGGCACCTCCACGATGCTAGCACGTTCTACATGAGCGACCCTTTGTCCTAGTTGCGTCCCTGCGCAAACAACCAGCTGGAATCCCCGATTCATCCGGAAAACGACCTACAGCCACAACGTTACATAGACTTACGCCCTAACCCCTAATCCTTAACCCGATATGCTCTCACCCTTAATACCCTAATCCGCTACACCCAGCGCCCTGCTTGAGGCCGCGGCCCACAACCAAACCTCGACTTTGAAGGTACTTCACTACCTCAGTTGGAGAGTTAGGGCTTCAGCCGAAACTCTAACTGAGATGCTTCTACGTAACATAGTCAAGTATATTAAATATGTTATGCTAGTCTACTTTGTGTCACTTTCTGACAAATGAAGGCCCCTGTTCGAGGCTCAGGGACAAGACAAGCGACACAAATGCAACGTCCCAGGAAACCCAGAGGACTGCTTTCTCGTTTCGCTCGTCTTCTTGACCAAAACCTCTACTTAAATCCCCAAAAAGAAAGTGAAACAATGGTCAGAAACAACTGAAAGGCTATTATTTTACATACTTTCAGGGTCCAGGTAGACCTAGAACCTCAAGACCTGACCTCAGAACCCTTGACCCCCGACCCTAAGCTCCACCTTTTATCCTCCAATCCTCAATCCCACAACTCTAACACCAGATGAGTATTCGAGTACACAGCATGTCAATGCGAGTCTGTGTAAATGTACATGCATGTGTATATATGTATATATATATATATGTGTGTGTGTGTATGTATGTATGTATGTATGTATGTATGTATGTATGTATGTATGTATGTATGTATATAGGTAGATGTATATATATATATATGAACACACGTATACATATATACACACATGTATGTATGATTGTGTATGGCTTGCTAAGACTTACACATGATTCAGGCCCCTGCTCAAGTTTGAACAGCGTAACGCAAAGCTCGGTCATGCTGCTTATGCAAGACACATGAAGTATGCGAGGCCGTATTTAAGCCTAGGACCCTGACCACCGGAGCCATAGAGCCCAAATCTGAAGATATACCGAATCCCCTTAACCCGAAACTTGGAGAATCAGGGGCTTGCAGAACTTCTCGGGCAAAACGCAAGGGCTGTGAGGAGGAAATCCAACCACAGCGCCGCAATCATGTTGCAACTGCAACACCACCGGCACAAATACATCCTGACCTATACTGTCAAACCTACATCCCAAACCCTAATTTTGTAGTATGTGCCCTAAACCCTAAACCCTGAACCTTCTTTAAAGGAACCCTAAACCCTAGAACCCTTTTTGCCGAGCAAATTACATTGATCTTGTCATCCGGCTTCATGCGGGCGAAGACTACGCATCGGGGCCAGAGCTCCTCCACATCAGGCTTGGCTTCGTGTTTAGGGTTGAGGGGTTTAGGGTGTAGAGTTTAGGGATTAGGGTTTTTGAGGGCTATAAGTGTTCAGAGTTTAGGGTTTGAGGGTTAAGGGCTTAGCGCTTTTATGGTGGAGGGTTTAGGGCTTAAGGCGTGGCTGAAGAGTCCCCCTGTGCATCGCCCGCCGAAAGAATGCAGTGCAAATGGGGGTGCCGTTGGAATGGCAGCCAGTGGAAAGTTGATGGGCTGAGTGCTCCTGACTATGCCATGGTGCGGGTTCCTCAGAACGGCTAGCCTAAACCCTAAACCCTAAACCCCTAAACCCCTAAACCCCTAAACCCCTAAACTCCTAAACTCCTAAAACTCCTAAACTCCTAAACTCCTAGACTCCTAAACTCCTAAACTCCTAAACTCCTAAACCGCTAGACTCCTAAACTCCTAAACCGCTAGACTCCTAAACTCCTAAACTCCTAAACTCCTAAACCCTAAACTCCTAAACTCCTAAACCCTCGGAGGTCCGCCTTGGGCCTCGAGGGCTGTGGATTCGAGGTTTCGAGCGTCGCAGGAAATCCGGGATTTGTTATGGCTAGGGGTTTAGGGTTTAGGGTTTAGGGATTTAGGGTTTAGGGATGTAGGTTTTAGGGTTTAGGGTTTAGGGCTTAGAGTTTCAAGGCTTCAGGGTCTAGGGTTCCTCATCCAACGAATGTATGCATGCCTACTTCAAAGATGTTAACTGGCAAGTCTAAGGGTGGCCAGACTAGTTGATGTTTGGACATATGGTTGACAGTTCAAGACATGTTCCGAAAAGCCGAAATGCAGAGCCCAACCCAACACCGTAAGGGCAACCGTCAGCCCCCATCACTGAGCCTGAAACACGCTTCAAACGTGAAACTCAGCCACAAGATATTACTAAACATCATCCAAATAACAAGTCCTTCATGAGAGTTGTTCCAAACCCTGTGGTTAAAACTAGGGTGCTGTTTTTGCTGCAAGACGCTTGAAGCGGAACTGCATCTGTTACAATCACATGCAGCCAGGTCCTCAAGCAGCTTCGTGTCGGTTGTGTAAAGGTGTCTCCAGGCTGCGCACGTCAGCGCTAGTTGGCCTTGAAATGGAAAGGGTTTGGTAACACGTCTACTCGAATATCGCGCATCCCTCGGATTCATCTTCACGGCACGGGTTTTGAAGACCAAAACCCACTGAACAATTATGGCAGAAATAATAGCAATGCTTCATGCAGCTACTTCCTAAAGACAACAATGACAGGATCCTCCACCCCAAAGGCTGCAGAGGGTTTGATGACTGGGCTGTGTACCCTTAATCAGCCCCAACTGAGAGGACGAAACCACACACTGAAAACACTGACCATCTTGGGAAGTGCCTCGGCTTTGCACCTGGATGTGAGATTCACGAAATGTATACTTATGTAATTATGTAGACATGCACCATGCAACAGCTTGTTGCTAAGTAACCTGCTGTGGTGTTGCATGTGCAATAATCGGAGCTGACGCGCTTCTGCTTTCGTATCCAGTCTGCTCGAGGCTGAAACATCGTTTTCACGTCAGCCAGCGCCGTATTGCCACCCAACACATCCGAAACCTGAATCCTACAAATACTCGGAGAAAACGCAACCATGAACACAAGAAGATGAATCTTCAAAACCTATTATGTAATTGACACCGTGCCGCAGTGTGGATCTGGGCTGTCCGGAGTGACCTCGCCAAAAGGTCGCCCAAGCACAACTGCTTAAAGACGGGAGCCTTGACGCCAAACCGTAAATCACAAACACAAACCCAAAAACCCACACCTGATCTTACATCGCTACAGGATTGGGTATGATTGGGATGCACATGGTTCCGTGCCTGCAGCGGTTGCTCCAACTCGCAAGGTCGACCAACGGGGTGCAGGCAGGTGGGTTTGCGGGCTGCAAGGCCGTATGCTTAACCTGCACGGTATTGTGTGCGAGGCTCCTCTAGGCTTTAGGGACAATGTGCTTAAAAGTAAAGCCTGAAGGATTGAGTTCAGGTGACACCCAAAGCACACATTCGGTCCAAGCGTGGCGTAATGCATGCAATACACAACCGTGCACGAAACAACATGGGCTGCTATGGTTTGGCATTCAGAATACGGAACATCGGCATGTACTTCAAAACCAACAACTGCGGTCAAGTGCCCAATGCTTACATAAGTTTGATGCATATACATAATCAGGATACTTGTTGGCAGCTTGCAGGTTGAAGCAAGGTGTGGGGTTTAGGGTTTAAGGACGAGGGACAGCTACATTTGTGTGTGGCACACAAATTCGCAAGTATTTGCCCCCGGCTGCAGTTGCACAGATGTGCTCCGCACATAAACCGAACAAAACAAGTTCTAGAAGCGTATGTTGCAACATGCAATTGAATGTACTAAACTATAAAACCACATACAAGAAACAGTTTTAGAAAGCAAGGCCCCCGCAATCCACATGTCGGTAGAAAGTGCAACCGGGACGTGGCATCCACTCATGTAAGCACCCTTGCCCGGGCGTCATGATTTGCCAGAACACACGTCTATATCAGTCGACCCCATATGGTTCAGCCACGTTTCGTTGTTGATGCAAAGAGTTCATGATTTCGTCGCAGGAGCCACGGCATTCCGCAAAGCTGGTCTTCTGACCTGTCTCCTGTCCTGTGGTTGAGCACGACGAACTGGACCACGTACGTGCATCTGCAGTGGCCCTGCGCACTATCAGGGCTTGCGTTTCCTAGACCAACTTTGTCTCTGGCAACCCTCAACTGCACATTCACAAAGTGTGAACCCGCAAGATAGACTTCCTCCAGTAAAAATCATCATGAAGAATGAGGAATCCCCAAACTACATGTCGTCAGGGCTCTAACTTATGAACTCAACCAGCTGCGAGAGCTGACCTTGGAAGATCCGGGGGCCTAGACCACCCCGAAACCGTCTGAGGTGGAACTTCCGAGCTACAGCCAGCATACGGTTCTTGCCTCTGGCAACCCGCGACGACGTCCCCACTCCTTGCTCCCTATAGACCCTCTTCCTGAAAATTAACCTCGAAGATCCACAGTAGTTGAAGCTGGCATGCCATGCCTCAGCCGACAACATATCGTTCGTGCATGGGCGCCATGTATGCAGAAACAGGGAAAGCAAACGAGCGACAGATCGCACTTGCAACACCCTAAGCCCAGCAGAAAGGCAACCGCTACAAATAGTTCACTGCGCCTAGAAACAGCTCTGGGCCCAACATCGTCCACGTAGGCTATATAAGACGTATACTGTACAGTATATGGAGGTTTCCGAAAATAAAGGACCCGATTTTGGGACCCTGAAAAATAGGATCTTTAGTATAAGCACCCCAAAATAAGGTACCCCTAATTTTCGGAAACTCCCATATCTTGGAGCCTCTGGGAGCTTCTCGCATATGTCCCCCCCAAACCTACTAGTACTGGGCACTCCAAATTAGGAGACCCACAAGACCCTAACACCCAAAGGGTCCAAGTACTAGTATAGTATATACTTTTGGGGCCAAAATACCTACTAAGTACCTACTACAATGGTACTTGGACCCTTTGGGACATCTAAGCCTCTGACCGCTGAACCCAAAAGCTCGAGGCCCAACAACTTGAAAAACTCGACATCCCATACTGCACAGCGCTGTTTAGCTAGAGCCCTCAGCCCGAAGGCCTTAAACCCGAACCCGGGCCTTGAACGCTCAAACCTAACCTTAAGCCCAAAGCCCTACAACCCTGAAGCTTCAACCCTGATACCTAAACTAAAAGTAGAACAATAGTCGTTCATAGCTGTTGAGGGTTTAGGGTTTAGGGTTGGGCCTTATTTTACCTCCTTTGGGGGGTTTGAGTAAATGCAAAGAACGAGCCTTAAACTAAACCCTAAACCCTAAACCCTAAACCCTAAACCGAAACTGACGGGCGAAGGCACGCGACGCTGTTCGTTCTCGGGATCGTTCCACACCAGGTGACCTCAGGATCGCCGAGGCAGGTAGACACCCTAAACCCTAAACCCTCAACCCTAAACTTGTTCACGGTTGGGGTAGTATTAAAAATTTAAATGTATATTCCTTATTGGGTTTAAGTACCCTTAAAAATGTAAAATGTTACCCAACTATGACAAAGTAAACCCTCAACCCTAAACCTAGTTCTCCTTTAAATTAAAGGACCCCAGTTAAGGGTTTAGGGTTAAGGGTTGGACTAGAATTCTGTGGGGGGTTCCTTAAAGGGTGTTTTAACGAATTCTATGTTGTAAGGGGCCTTAATGATCAGAACAGGGTTTTCTCAGAGATCACTATGTTCGAACTATAAGACTACGAGCACTCAGGCCTCTAGATTCGTCTTCCATGGGCTCCTAGCCCTAGACCCTAAACAAAGAAATATACATATTATATATATATATATATATGTATAGTATGGGTTCCTTTGAGCGTTTTAAATGTTGACAGGGCCGTATGAGGTAAGTTCTGTAGGGCTTTAAATAGCTTAGAGTTTAGGGCTCAAGTTCAGGATTCACGGCCTGCGATGTGAAGCGTTTCATATAAGGGTAACAAACTCAAAGCCAAAAGCCCTAAACCCTACATTCCCTAATTCCCAGATATACCGGGATCCCTATCTTATATAGATAACCACCCCGAGAGAAGCCCTGAACTCCAGTCAAAAACCTAGACCTTGCATACGCCCCGAAAGCCCATGCTGGGTTCTCGCAATACAGGGTGTCGGCATAGTTTCGAATAGTATCGCCTCATAACCCCACCCTGCGCAAGGCCCTGGTCCATATTCGATACTCTTCGGCCAACTGCCATGCAACCCTCATGCCATCCTCCGAAAGCTTGTTGAGGACTAAGGAAGTCGATGCATAGGCATTGAGGGTTGAGGGTTTAGGGGTTTAGGGTTTCGGGTTGAGATGAATCTCCTCCGCAGAAGTGCCAAAATCAACCCCCTGAACCTTAAACCGTGGACCTCAAAGCCTGCATTGAAAAGCCTCATCTGAAGCCTCAAAGGGGTTAGGGATGGTTGGGGCTTGAGGACGAGGTGTCCTAAACCCAAAAGCCGAAAGCCCGAGCCAGAAACCCCTATATCCTGAGGTTAGCCCACTCAGAATGCGACGAACGTTCTGGCATGCATCCCCAAACCCGGGAGCTTAGCATGGGTTGGTATACTGTACTATCAATACCCTAAACCCTAAACCCCAAACCCTAAACCCCCCTACCCCTAAACCCTAAACCCTAAACACAAAACCCCCCAAGTCCTAAATGCTGTTCCAGCAGCAGCGTACTTTGCTCAAAACCCTAAACCCCAAACCCTATAAGAACTTCCTTAACAAAAAGATCTGTTCTTTGTCGGATTCAGGTTGAAGGGTTTAGGGGTTGAGTGGCTTCGGGACTGACTCCTACCTTCCGGTTGGCACTTCTATGAAATTTGCCACGCAACAACCTAAACCCGAATCCGGGCTTCTGATATAACTACAGTAGCAGTATAACACCCCCTTGTCATCCCTGTTCTATAAGTATTCAATTCAAGCCCCTGTGTTATGAGGTGCATGCATGGGCACAACAGTCGCATACAGGAAGCCCTAGGAAAAAGAGTACCCAGAGACTCCAATACCCC